ATTAAATTAATTCATGATTCCAACTTTACTTGAGGCTCCAAGAGCTACGGGAGGAAACTGTATCATATACTACACAGTCCTCTGCCTCCTAAGTGGTTTTCCCTTTGACACTGTACTGGCTGCTCAAACCAGAAACTCACTGTGTGATTATCCCCACAACCTCCTGAAAAATAAGCTCTGGCTTAGCCTCCCTTACTGGGCCCATCTGAATTCCTCAGTTCCTGAGTTATTCTAGTAAGTTATTCTTCAATTCCATCCTTTACACAGTAGTCTAGGCATACTGGCTCCCTTATTTGAAACTCATTTGCATCTCCTGGTTGCTTACACGCAGAGCCTAGGCTCTAGTCCAGCAATCCAGGACCTGTGCAGTCTCCTCCCTCCACCTTCCAGCACACATCACCCACAACGGAAGCCCAATAAGGTACATTCAGCCCTGCTGGGCATGGCAGCTTCTCTGTCCTGGACCTCGGTGCCTGGATCAACAGTCAGCTGCTATTCCTCTGCCTGCTTCCTCACTGCTCTCTGTGCACCAGCCCTCTTTTCTCTGGGGCCACCCTCCATAGACAGCTTTCTGTTATTAAATCTCTCTCAGAGTGCCTGGCACAAAGTGGTGCTCAGTAACTGTGTGATGAATGAATGTATCAAAACCTTCCAAGGAGTCTCACTGCTTTAGAGGATAAAGTCCAAAATGAAGCCTCTACTCAGCCATAAAAAAAGAATAAACTAATGTCATTTGCAGCAATATGGATGGACCTGGAGATTGTCAAACTAAGTAAGCCAGCAAGAGAAAGAAAAATACCGTATTACTTAAGAGGAATCTTTAAAAAAAAAAAAAGACACAAATGAACTTATTTACAACGCAGAAATAGCCTCACAGGCACAAAAAACGAACTTATGGTTACAAGACAGGAAAGGGAGGGAGGGATAAATTAGGAATCTGGGATTAAGAGATACAAACTACTACATATAAAATAGATACATAATAAAGTCCTACTGTACAGCGCAGGGAACTATATTCAATATCTTATAATAACCTATAATGAAAAAGAATATGAAAAGGAATATATGTGTACAGATACAACTGAATCACTATACTGTAAACCAGAAATTAACACAATACTGTAAACTCACTATACTTCAATAAAAAATGACATCCTTCGAAAAAAAAAACCAAATATAAAAAAACCCAAAGTGAAGTCTGATGTCAAATGGCTCCCCCCAGAGTCTGTGCCCAGTTTATCTGTCCCATCTTTTCCTGGTCCCCACCTCCTGACTTCAGACTCCTTTTGCTCTTGTCAGAAACGTTAAAGGCAGGCCCTGTATTCTGGATGCAACAGGTGGGGATGAAGAGATGGGAGTGGGACAGGCCTCTGACTTACCTGTGTAACTGCTGATACCTTTGAGGATTTTTTCACTTTGGCTCTCTCTCCACCTGAAAGGAAGCACACTATCCATGAGCCTAATAGACCTCTTCCAAAAAAAAGGCAATAATTCAGCCAGTGGCCAGAAAAGAACATTACCCAAATTCTCCCTTAAGTATGGGGGGTTGTACTTTCCCCCTTTAAAGGATAAGTCAAATCAAGAAATGATGGGTAGGATGAGGTCTAAACAACCATGGTCTCTTCTAGCTAAAATTCTTTACCAGATGTTCCCTCTCCCACCTTGCAGTTCTGTAGCATTTGCCTTCAAGAATTCCCGACTGTCATTTTCATGGACAGATGTAAAAAAAGAAAAAAAGGTGGACTAGAAAGAGGCAGTGATTTTCCCAGGGTCATCCAGCAATCAAGGGCAAAGCCAGGACTAAAA